AGTTCACTGGGTTCATCTGGGAACAGGAATGTGGCAAAAAGTCACACTCTGGGAAGAAACAGGTATCAATACTTGTTTCTTTCCTTCCTGAGACATTCCAAAAGGATTCAGGCCTCATTTATGGCTCATTTCTGGTGAAGACTACATCTCAAGTAAGTCTCAGTGAAAGTTTCTGATGGTGCTAATTTTTTAATGTCCTGCTTCCTTTTCTTGGGTTTTTTGTGTCTAGACAATTTTTGTGATTATTAAGGGCATTTGCAAGGCCCTTTTTTTGTCCATTGCGCTCCGTCGTCGTAGTTATCGAGCCCGTGATATTCCCAAAAAGTCCAACGGCGTTCGGTTGTGAAGGCTTTGAAGAGCCATTAAATCACGTCAGGGACCGCAAATAGCCAAAAAACAAGTCACTCATCTCCCAGGGATACAGAAGCATCAACAAAAAGAGGCAAAATGGGACTTTGTCTAGCAGTGACATCTACAATTCTCTGGGTAAGTTTTTGCACCAAAACAGTGAAAATATGGATTTTAAATGCATTCAATATTTTCTAGGTCTTGTTGGTGACTCTTCAAGATGGTGAAGCTAGTTCCTGTGCAGAAGTTGGAGGCAGGCTTGCCTGTGAAGATATCTGTGAAGTCAGAAGACCAGCTCTCCACAAGTTTCAAGTGGACTTTGTTGGGGACTCCTTGGACTTGGACTGCATCAGGTATAAGGGTCTCAAGGTGAGTTCCTTCTGGAAGTGAAAAAGACAAACATAGATTTGAACTTTTTCTTGTAACTTTTCAGGAAGTCAGGTTATTCAACAGGACCTTCTCTTTGGGGAAAGTACTGGGCATGGAAGAAATTGTTAGACCCTGGAGTCACTGTTTCTTCAAATACACAAGTAAGTTGCTAAAATATCACCATAGAGCCTAGTAATTCAACTTTTCCATTTTTCAGAAAAACAGAAAACAGTCAAGGAGGAGCCCAGGACTTCAAAACCTGTCCTGAAGACTTCACTGCACAAAACATCATCAACAACACCACTGACCTCATCAACTGTGCCAATCAAGCAAAGGATCAGCACCACAAGTCAGCCTAAAACAGTACCTTGGGAGGAAGAAACTGCTACCATCCAGGATCAAGACAACAGGGTTTTTAATAAAAATGATGTTGTGACTGTTGTGCCTGAAACCCAGTTAGAACATGTTCCTGCAGAGGAGATGGTGCCTGTAGAGGAGGCCCTTCCCAAAACTACTAGGGGGACCCTGGCAGATATTGCAGAAAAATCTAAAAACTTATCTATTTCTCAATTGAACATTTCTGCAGGGTTCCCTGATGGGTCAGTTATTCATGCAGAGTTTCCACAATGGTTGCTGGAAGCTTTGGTTTGGATAATTGGAGTATTGGGGGTTGGCTCTCCCTTTGCAGTACTAACAATCTGCTGTTGCAAAAGGATAAAATTGAAGGTGTGTAGTTTTTTGTGGTGGAAGGTTAGCCATATTTCTAATGGGTCTTTGGGCTTTCTGCTATTGCTGTGCTTCTTGTGTGCTGGGTTGAATTGTTAGAGGGAATCAGAGGCAGAAAATCAATTGGAAGAGGCGCCTCAGTCAGTTTTAAATCCTTTGTTTGAGGAATTGGAGATGGCTGAGGCTCCTTCTCTTGCCACAGTAAGGCCTTTGATGTCCTCTTTCAGTGAGTGTCTGTCACTGCTTGCTTGTTTTGCTTTGGCTTGACCTTCTTTTGTTATCAGGTCCAATCTGAAGCCCTGTCCGGGGAAGAGTTGCTCACCAGGTGGACTTGGCCTCTCCTTCGTCCTTGGGTGTTGGCGAAGATTTGTTCTAGCCACCCCACCTTTTGGCGCACTTGTCCTGGTGCTGGCCAGGTTGTTTGTAGTGGAAGCCTCTCCAGTTTTTATACTGTGGGAGAAGTCAAGTTAATATTTGCGCGCATGTATTCGACGCGATTAGAGAGTTGATGTTGTTAGGAGGACATGAATAAAGATATTTTGATCCTCCACTCCTTGGTTTTTCTCTTCTTTTTGTTTTTGTTTTTCCACAGCAATCCCGGGCATTTCTCTTCATCCAGGTGTTTGGGATCCTCTTTCAATGAGTAAAATAAAACAAGTATAAGGCAGTCACACACATATAAGCACACAAAGCATTCTAGTTCTACCACATAATCCATTCTAGTTGACATCAGTAGAGACTTCAAAACCTTCAAGGGGTGTTCCTGCGTATATTATTTGATCGCCATTAACCCTGTTGAAGCACTAATTTGCAATCTGGGGTACTGAGGAGCCAATGGGGCACTCCTGGAGGGTATCAATTCAATATTTGTGCTTTCTACAATGTTTGCATTTCTTCTGCGTCTACAAATGATAATGTACCGTATTTCTGCGAAACATAGATACATGATACTAATTAGTATGATAGACAATAGGATTACTGACACTATTAGATAAATGTATCCATGATCTCTAAAGTGAATTTGGAGTTTGCTAATATCTTCAGCTACTGAACTTCATGGTTTAAAAGCTGGAATTTCTTCTACAGCGTTTATCTCCACATTTTCTAGTTTGGGTAGAATTTCCTTGAATGGTCCGTTCACTAAAGTATATCTACAATTTTGATTAAATTTCAAGATACCAGAATACGGTAATTCGTATGAGTTCTCAGACACAGGAATTGTTCCATTTTCACTTTCAGCACAATATTGAGTTACCCTTCCCTTGTCTGTATCTATATATGCAAATTCGTCCCTATCTAATTGTACTACCATATTTTCAGGGCTGACTATTGGTCTCATAGGACATGCCTCTCAAATTGCTTCTTCATTTTCTCCAATTTGGATTTTTCTAATGCATTTGCTGGCAGGTCTGATAGGGGCATGATTGACTCTGCAAATTTGACAACCTGAATGTCCTATTCTTCTAAGACACATGGGTATTTCTGTACCATAGGCTGCGTAATACTGATTTCCTCTCTTTAACAGAAATGGATGTTTAATCTCTGCTTGCAACCATTTGGAAGACCCTAAATAAGTTTCTCTGGCTATGGGAACTGCATGCACCCTCAAAACATGAATCACTTCATCTGCTGAAATAACTGGTACTATTGTAATAATCTTGAGATGACACTCTCCAGCTGTGGCTGTCAAGTTGGCACAATTGAACATTCCTACCGTTACCGGGTTTGACTCAATTATGTGAACCAAATCCATTGCTGTTACTTTGGATTTTGCATATCTAGGTTCCACATCGAGAATTTCTTGCATTACTCCATGCACTTGACCAATGTCAAACATGTGAATAGGAAAAGCAAATTATCTAATTGCTTCGATATCCCCTTGAATAGTATCGGCTACGTTCTTTAGTTGTCCCAACTCAGATCCAATAAGGAGAGTTTTCAACCAGAAATTAATTAGAGAGCGGTTGGTCAAAGTGACGTCATCTATTAATTTGTCAAAAACTTCAGCATGACTAAAGTCGGTGAATGTTAATAGCGATGATGGTCTGAGGTATGCTCTTTTGCTATTTGATTGTAGCTTTGTTAGGGGGGAAATTCCTCTCTGAACAATTGGTAACAGGTTCAAATAAGGTGTCTCATTCCCCGGGTCGTTTGCTGCAGTTTCAATTTGCATAGCCAGATTATCTAAAGTTAGGTCTAGCATACTCAGCTTATGGTCCAGCATTTTCATGGATACATTGGCTGGGCCAGATAATTTCAAGTCATTTTTGTCCACATCTTTTCTCACATTCTTCGCAAAATCATACACTCTTTTTCGAACCTTTTCTCCCATGTGGTAAAACTTTCCTAAGTCCACTGATGATTCCATTGTCCAAAAGGTAGTGGGAATGCACATTTTACTTAGATCTTCAATTGTTACTCCTACGTTCCCTGGAAATGTTCTAATGGGAGAGATCTTGTCTAATCTATTACTATTGGACACAATTCCGCGATCTTCTGCCACTTCTTTGATGAACAGGCCATTGCAAATAATTGTAAATTGAATGTGGAAAAATGTAACCATGAATCGAAACATGTTGACACGGGCGCGTTTCGAAAATAACTGCGCAGTTTGCGTACTTATCTGGGTACTGAAGTTGACCTTCTGGCTTCCCCGCGCGTGCGTGTGGGTAGAATATTGTCGCTATCTATTCCGCTCAACATGCGTGGCCTTACCAATTTTTTCTCCTTGTTTGGTTCTGTTTCGTTTCCTTTTTCTTTCTGCTCCATTTCTTTCTGTTCTGCTTCTTGTTGTTTCTTCTTGGCTTCCTTCTTTCTTTCCTTCTTCTTCTGACTCTTGGATTTTGATGTGTCAGGGTTAACTGCTGCGGTCGCTCCTTTGTCTGGAGTCTGTTGCAGCGGCATCTGTGACCTTCTAGGAGTACTGGATGACTCCGGTGGTGCAAGGACACTGTCCGTGACTGCTGGCAAGGTTGTCTCAGGTGGTTCATTGTCGTCTGAGCCTGATTCCGGAAAGAAAATCTTCCCCAGTTCCGTAGTCACCTCGGAAAGAAAGGACTTATTAGCTTTGCTAGATTTTGGAGTAGCTATAACAGTCTTATTAGTATATTAGTATCCTCAGTGGAAACAAAAGATTCATTTCCGACTTCTGTTGCTTCCACATTAGGTGAATGGGTAGGTGTCCCATAGAACATCATGTCAGGAGCAGACACATCGAAAGCAGCCGATTTATTGGCTACGTCTTCAGACTCTTCTGGAATTTCTGCTTCTACTCCCTCAGTCTCGTTCTCCATTGATGGTTGGGTGGTTTCGTCATCATCCGTTTTTTCAACGTGTTTTTCTGGTTTGCTTGATGGAGTAGACCATTTCTTGGGTTGTGCATTGGGAAAAACCTTTTGTTCGACTTCATCAAAGTCTTCTATTTCCTCAATTTCTAGGTTGGTATCTAAGTTAGTAGAATCTGCATTCCGGATTTGGAAAGGTCGAATATAACTAGTATGAACTACATTGGTCCAGTTACTATGCTGGTCATCTCGAATGCGCACCACGACGGGATTAACAATTTCAATAATTGTGTAGGGACCTTTGTATTTGGCACTCCATTTCTTTCCCACAAAGGAGAGGGGATGATGTTTAAGCCAAATTTTGTCTCCTACGTTATAGGCTGTTCCCTTCCGATGTACATTTAACAGTTCTAAATACAAAGCTTGGCCTTTTCTAATGGCCGTTTGGGCTTGTTCCCTTAAGGATTCAAGCTGTTCTTTTTTAACCTCATAATATTCCCTTATGCTTTGGAATTGTTCCAGGTTTTGTTGACTGGAAAGCCAATTTCTTCTTGGTTTCATTCCTGTTACTATCTTGAAGGGAGAGGCTTGTAAAGCTTTGTGCTTAGAGCTGTTGTGGACCCATGCTGCTAGTTTGAGTAGTTCAACCCAGGTACTTCTATTTTCCGGGTCGAGATAGAGCGCCAGGTATTCATGTAATTCGCAATGGGACCTTTCATTTTGCCCATTACCTTGGGGTTGATAGGCTGTAGTTGTATTTGCCCGAGCTCCCAGGAAACTAGCCATATCTCGGAACACACGACTTACAAAGTTTGTCCCGCGATCGGTTAAAATTCTTTTTGGAGCTCCAAACATACAAACCCACTCGGTCAAGAATAATCTAGCGGTGGTCTTTGCAGATGCGTCTTTCATTGCTGAAAAGAGTATCCAGCGAGACAACCGATCTTGAATTACTAGAATATATCTATTTCCCCTTTGACTGTTCGGTACGGCACCCACCACCTCAACACTAACATCTTCAAAGCAATTCTTCGGAATACCTGTGCTCAAGTAAGGCGTCTTGTGGGAAAAATGCTTAGTTTTTTGACATTCGGTACAGGAACGGACATATGCCGTGACATCCTTCTCAATATTGGGCCAAGTAAATTCTTCTCGGATAGCAAAGGAAGTTTTATCGATTCCGCAATGACCCATAGATGGCGGATCATGAAACCTGGAAATTATCTTTTCTCTCAAATAAGGTGGAACCCAAATGCGTTGCCCGTTGGTTGTCTTCTTCATCAACAATCCTTCCTGCATATGAAATTCTTCTCCGAAAGGGATTTTTCCCTACAAGGAGGCAGTAGCGCACTGTAACAAGCTTCTGGAAATGTAAGGAATCAGATTAGTTTCGAGCAAGACAGGAGACAAAAAGGCACACAGTTTCTTGGTTTTCTGGTTGGGGGGAAATCGGCTTAAGGCATCAGCATGAGGGATCAAAAGTCCCTTTTTATACTCAACTCGATATTCATATTTGTTGAGTTTCATAAACCAAGCGATTGCCCTTCGACTGTTGCTCTGTCTCTGACAACTTAAGTAGGGGATAGCGATATGATCTGTTTTTATCACAAAAGGATGTCCCCATAAATATGAGCAAAACTGTGAAACGCCATAATATACTGCTAGTAATTCTCTATCAGTATTAGGGTATCTTGATTCCGCGTCATTGAGCGTCCAACTTGCACAGCCAATTAATACTTCCCTCTTACCTGGTTTCTGTGTGAGTATTGCTCCTATGGCAATAGCAGAAGCATCGGTAGTAAGAATAAATTCTTGGTCAAAATCGGGGAAGGAAAGTACAGGCGCTGACAACAAACATTTCTTAAGACATTCTACAGCGTCTTGTTGCGTTTTTTCCCATTTGAAAGCTGTATCCTTTTTCAGAAGGATATACAGTGGTTTGGCCTTTAGAGCAAAATTCTGTATATAGGATCAAAAATAACCGACAAGACCTAGGAAGGCTTGTACTCCCTTTACGTCTACTGGTATGGGGAAATTTTGAATTGCCTCTATTTTTGTTGGGTTAACTCTGATGCCAGTTTCACTAATCAAAAATCCCAAGTATTCAATCTGGGTACGGAACAATTGGCATTTAGAAAACTTTACTTTCAATCCTGCTTTGTCTAGGCGCTGTAGAATATTGGTTAGGTGAGAGAAATGCTCGTCTGCGCTACGTGAGTAGATTACTATATCATTTACATAAATATAGGCATAAATTCCCAAACAACCATCTAGTACCAAATGCATGAGGCGCTGAAAGATAGAAGGACTATTTTTGAGGCCCATGGGGAGTCGGATGAACTCATAATGTCCCATAGGCGTAGAGAACGCCGTTTTCCACCTTTCTTCCTCACGGATCTTTATATTGTAGAATCAGTGGAGAAGATCTAATGCTGTGAAAAACTTCGCGTTTCCCAATTCCTCAAAAATTTGGTTAATGCGAGGCAAAGGGTGAGCGTCAGTTATTACATGGTCATTTAGACGTCTGAAATCCACTATCATTCGCCAACCACCGTCTTTCTTCTTCACCATTAACGTTGGGCTATTGTACAGAGATTTTGATGGGCGTACTATTTCATGTTCTAACAAATCCTCTACAGATTCATTAACTTTTGGTCGCATGCCGTGAGGAAGCGGATATTGTCTTGTGAAAATTGGTTCGTTTGTATCTAGTGGAATGTCTGCCTCATATAACGGACATAATCCCAAATGGTCAGATTTTTTGGCTAAGACATTCTTGAATTTTCGTAGTAACTCTCTAAGGGGGAGAATTAACCGTTCAGGACACTCCGAGAGTTTGATGTTTTTGTCTATTAGTTGTATCAAATTCTTGTCTTTTAATTTTCCATGGAGTCTCTCGAGTTTGTCCTTATTTTGCAGCTTAGTGGTCAGAACCACTGCACTCTTTTTGTTGGGATCCACAATGTCTTCTATGTCTCTTACCGCTATTGAAGCTGATGCTAACGTTAACTGAGGGGATACTTCTATGTCTTCATCCCCAACGTTCAGACATAGAATAGGGTATGTTTTCTCTTGGTGTTCTCGAGAAATACTGTGTGCCACTATAAGAGTGCCACATAAGCCATTGGAAATGTATAGAGTGCAGTTTCCGACCTTTTCTCTAGATTTTTCAGAGAGTTTTGCAAACAAAAGTTTTTGAGACTTCCGTGGTATGACAGATGTTTCCATGGGATATAGTCGAAAAGACTCATTTTCGTGGATGTGGTTTAGACGAGAACATTTAACTCTTCGGAGCTGGTTGGTTTCCGTTAAGAAAGATACTCTCATCTCGTTCAGATGGACACATTTTTCTCCGTACAGTAGTTTAGCATGTAGGGTTTTCATTACGTCTGATCCCAGAATTCCTTCAAACTCATGACCATGCATCGGAAATATAATAAACCAAGCTTGAGTTAGTAGTCTACTATCTATATACAAAGTTAAATTCAATATGCCGTTAACTGGCATTTTGCGACCTTCAATGGTTGCAATAGTAATATTTGAGGCAGATGGTGATACCTCTGCTTTTAATACACTAGGAGAAAGTAATGAAATTTCCAAACCTGAGTCTAGTAGAAATTTTGCTGGAAAGCGGGTGGCGTCAGTAGTCAGTAGGATAACCGGCAGCTTCACAGTTGAGGTTGCTGAAGTGCCGGTCAATACTCGTTTCCCAAGTATGACGAGGCGGGTTCATCGATATATCCTTCAGGTAGAAGTTGATCTTCTCCTTCCTGCTCATATTCCTTGTTGACTCCTTCGTATTTGTCGCCTTCTTCTACAAAATTCACTACTTTTCTTCCACTTCCACGTCCGCAACCTCTGCTGCGCGAATTTCCACGATAAGAGGAGCGGGCTCTATTGCAACTAGAGAATTTTGGCGCGCGGCCATCTTTCTCTGGTGCTAGATACACGAACTTTCTCGTCGCGGGCTTAGACGATGTTTTATTCTGCCCACAACACTCGCTTCGAAAGTGGCCCTTTTGACCACAATTATAACAAGTTGTCGTGGAACAAATATCAGCACCATTTCCACCAAGCGCGTAGGGAGGAGTCTTGGGGCGCATATTAGAAGATAATTGATGGAGGGAGGAAGAGCGGGAGGAGTCTAAATCCTTTTCTCTATCCTCTACAGAAATCGCAAATCGAAGCGCAGTCTCAAAATCGTCAAAAGTGATGCGTATGGCATTGGCGATTTCGGGAATAAGACCATCCATAAACGTTGATAAAAGAAATCCATCCAAAAAATCCTGCTTTCCCTTATATTCCCAACATTGTTTAATATAAAATGGGTTAGGGAGAAGTGCAGCAGGTTGGTTTTCTCTGCGGATTACTTTAAGCTTACCAGGGGCATCGCCGAGCAGGAAATTTCCAGCGCGTCTCACTCTAGCTCCGAAGGTCTGCACCTGCTCCCCAGGAGTCTGGCGCATCCTCTTCAGATCTTTCATGAGATTTGTCAGAACTCTCCTGCCAAACATATCTTGCAACGTTTTTACTATTACACGATAATGGGCTGACGTCAACCCTTGTATAGATGTCACATATATTTGAGCCTCACCTCTAAGTTTACTTAACAAATTGGAATGGATACTTTCATCCGAATATACGCCATCATACAGGGCACTTTGAAAAGTTGCCCACCACTCTTGCCAATTTAAGGGACCACTGCCATCAAAGAACGGGATTTGATTCATCGCGATTGAGGCCTGCTGGGTATTGACACTTGGCAATCTGGATTTTTTAAGGTGTTCCACATTGTAGAACACAACTTTGTCCGCACTTGGCTCCGTAA